AGACGAGCGCACAACCACCCGGTTCTGGATAACAACGCCTATGCTGGAACATCCGTCAAAGCAGCGACGGAGGAGCATGGCCTGACTCATGTGTATCGGTGTGCAATGCCGGTTGTTGCACCATGGGGGGCAACATGCTAACCAGGCAGAAACGGCATCATTCACTGAAGCTAAAAAAACGTCGACTTGTGACGTGCACTAGCATGCAGCAAATGAGGATGCCTCAAAAAGTGACTCCGTCCCAGCCGTGTTGGAGGCGTCAGTGCTAGCCTGACTCACGGATTTGGTGGTTCACCTTGCGTCGAAAACGTTCGAAGTAGCTAGTCGCGCCTTACGCCGCATTGCCAACGACTTCCTGCCTTACTTCTGCCACGATGATAGTAGTGCCAATGACTGCCGCCTGCTCCGTTGGAGTGCTGGTGTCGTTTGAACCCGGGGGCCCTGCAATGCCACCGCCGGACGCCGCATCCCTCCACAGGCCTCGAAGCAGGACGGCAAACTGGAAGACCACGCAGAGGACCACAACCGTTGCAATGGCACTGGCAGCGTATGCCAAGATCTGCGTGCCTGCCTTCCCCAGCAGCGGGTCAAACTCGTGGGACCGCACCATGGCCGTGGCAAAAATCACCGTCGGGAACGTAAATGCGGCGGAGCCTGGCGCGCGCACGGCACGGTGGCTCCACAGGAGGGGCGCGTAGGCCAGGAAGACGAGGTACAGGACGATCGACATGACGTACAGGAACTGGAACAGCGAGTGGACAAATGCAGAGACAACTTCGCTCTCCGCCTCCTCCTTTGCGTAGGCATTGCGGACGCACCAGAGGGCCGCTGTGCACAGCGCGAACGGCGCGCAGATGATGGCGGTCCGAGCCTGGCTAACCTCCAGGCCCTTCGCTCCCACAGCATGAACCAGCACCATAACCAACACAGGCATTGCCCAACATACTCCCACTACAAATGAAAACGCCGCAATCTCTCGAGTCTCGATCCCTGTCGAGCAGGATGCTAGGGCAGCTATGCCGACTGTGGGTGGGAAAGCTGCGGGGGTCCACGCAGACCCGTCTTGGGTAGTTGGCAGTTTTCCTGGAAGACTAGTATTCGACTGGCGGGAACTTGTCCAGTCGCTAGTAGTGCGTATAATTTGTCCTGAATTCTGTGACTCTGGCATTGCTTCCTCTGGACGACTCCCATTGGACTGCCGGGAGCTTGTCCAATCGCTAATAGTGCGCATAACTTGACCTGACTCCTTTGGCTCCAGCTGTGCTTCCCCACGACACTTCTCCAAGACACTCCGGATGTAGAACACACCGCACACCAAATGCAAGGTAAGGGCAACAAACCACAATATGCAAGCGATAAGTGGAAACACGCGCATAGTGCTCGTACACACGGTGGCTAAAGCCATGGGGCCCGTAGCCAAAGTAGCACATTTTGGAGATGACCACAACTCTGCAAGAAATATATTCCAGTGAACGGCAGCCTTGGTTGCATATGCGACGAGAGAAATTGCAACGATTGAGTGGCAGAGATACGCAAAAGCATGAGAAGCGAATCCAAACCAGTTCGTCGGAGAATTCCATGTGTCATCATACTCGTAAATTGTAGTGATGTCTCGCCAGAGAATGCCGAGCCCCCCAACGCCCAAGGAAACGCCCAGTACTTGAGGTGGCAACTTTGCCAAAAAACACGCGGCCCTACTGAAGCAGTCCGGGAAGCAGTCGGGCGATCTCTGATCAGGATCTAAGCCATACGTACTTTTTTTCTCTCCCATTGCGGTTTCCATCTGGTCCATGACCGTCATGACGTCGTAGCGTACAGAACCCCCAAATTGAACACCCCGATCGGTCTGTTCTACCATGATGTGCAACGTGAGCCAGACTGGCTACGGTGGCAAGATGGGTCGGAAACAACTAAATCTGCCGACCAACAGATTTATGAAGGGGTGTTTCGTTGGTCTTCGGCCTCACCCGAAGGCCAGGGGGACACACCCTCAAAGCTTCATAAAGATACACACAAACCGCCACTCACCCCACCATGATGGCCCAAGATGGCTTCCATTGGAACTAAGTTAGCCTACCGCCAGAAGGGACGGAGGAGGACGGAGGAGAGTTGAGGATGAATGGAAGAGCGATGGGGGGATGGGGGGATGGGGGAGGGGCGGGAACAAAAACAAACAAAAACGACTGGCTTCCAGGTCCCAGCTCGCCTCCCCGGCGGCCGCTCGGGAAGATCCCTGGGCACCTCCGGAACGCTCTCGGGGCGAGACGCGGCGGCTGGACAGCGCCCCGAGACCCGAAACCTTCCGGCGATCCCCGCCGCGGCCGCCGCCGTTGGCGCCGCCGCCGCCGCCGCCGCCCGAAAGGCCGCGCGGGCAGCAATCTTTGGCCGCTCGTCACGGGGGTCCCGCGCGGCCGGCGCCGGGCGGCGGGCCGAGAGCGCTCTGGAGCAGGGCCTCCGAGGCCAGCCCGAGCAGGGACCCGAGCAGTATCCCCAGCACGAGGAAGAAGGGATGGGCTTGTTTCCCACCGCCACCACCATACGTTGGAGGGGAGGGGGTCCTCCTCCTCCTCCTCCTCCTCCTCCTCCTTCTCCTCCTCCTCCTCCTCCACAAGTACTGAATATGAATACTACTCTGCCTCTTCCCTTGATGGCGTGCTGGGAATATTCGACCCCCCCCCGTATTGTTTTTTACACACAGGATTCCCGGGAGTTGGGTTTTCGCCTGCGTTATTTTTCAAAATGCTGCTCTCGCTGAGGCGCCGGCCTCATTTCTGCCCCCGAATCGTGCTCCCACTGCAGCGTGGGCCTCATTTTCGGATCGGTGTTTTGCCTCCGTCGTTCAGGATGGCGTTCTCGCCCCAGCGCGGGCCTCTTTCTCGCGCGCCCATCCGCCCGCCTCCACCGTGCCGCACCACGCCCCGCCCCGCCGCACGCACACCCACCGCCACTTCCACCCACCAACGCACGCACGCACGCACGCGCACCACTACCGCGCACCGCCACCACCACCGCACTACCCCACCCACCACCACCACGCTACACCGCGTCACACCACATCACAAGCGCGCACACACAGACACAAACGCACGCACGCACACACACACACACATACACACGCACACACACACACACACGCACACACACAGAGACACACACACACACACCACCACCACCGCCACCACCACCACCACCACCGCCATCACGCACATACGCACCTGGCACACCACCAAACCACCAAGACGCCACACCACGTCACACCACAGCACACGCGCACACACGCACACACACATACACACCACCACCACAACAACCACAACCACGCACACACGCACGCACGCACGCGCACCACCACCCACTACGCACACGCGCGCGGAGCCACAGGTCCGCTACGACACGCGTCCGCGGATAGAGAAAATCAGCGCCATGGTAAGGGATGGGAGGGAGGGGTAGGATGTCAGATGTTGACGCGAGCGCACCTAACTTGTCCTCCTCCTCCTCCTCCTCCTCCTCCTCCTCCTCGTCCTCCACCTCCTTCCCCCCTCCAACTTATGGTGGCGGTGGTGGAAAACAGGCCCATCAGGAAGGACATCAGCGAGCCCACAGGCGCGGCGTCGTCGGCGTCGAGGCCGCGCTGGCCGGGCCCAAGCATCATCGACAGCGTGGACACCCAGCCGTTCGTGAAGGCGAAGGGGGCCATGGAGGGAGGAAGAAAAAACGGCACGAGCCTCACCTTTCGGGGGTCCGCTCGCGGACTTCCGGGATCCGCGCTGGACTCCCTCTGGCGCGCGGAGCGGGCCCAGGGGCGGCGCTGGGGGCGCCGACAGGGAGGCCCACCGCGGATCCAAGAAATCCCGGGCGGAGCTCCGAAAGTTTGCTTGTGGCTCTGCCGTCTTTTACTCTTCAGCATGAGCAGGAGCTGGACGCGGAGGTCGGTGGCAAACGCCCGCCGGCTGCGCTCGACGGCGAAGAAGGCCGGCACGAAGATCCCCCTCAGGAGCGCGAGCCAGGTGACGAGGCCATCCTGCCGCACGTTGAATGCTTCCAAGTGGGGCGCGAACCTGCCCACCACATCCATCAGCTGAAAGACTGCTATCTGCGTCGCGCCGTGACCTCCTCTCCACTTGGACGCGACGCCGGGAAAGACGGCGAAGGTGGCCACGAAGACGAAGCAGACCGTAAAGCACTGCGGGTACGCCCCCTTCCTCAGGAGCTCGATCGAAGAACTCTTCCCACTAGAGCACTTTCTCTGCAACGAGCCGTCGGGCAACGCCCCTCGCGCCCTCACGTGCGGGTCTCCTTGGATTTTGATGAAGTAGAAAGGTATGCTGGCAGCGCCGAAGAGGACGCACGCTGCGAAGCTGATGCAGAACCCCCGCTCGGAGCCCGACGCGGCAAAGCCGACCGCCGCGGCGAAGACGCCGCCGACACCCTGCCCGACCATCGCGTCCATCGTGAGCTTCGGGTGGATGGAACCCGCGAGCGCGAAGACCACGTTGGCAAGCAGAGCCGACGACGCCAGAGGAAGCGAGCACGGCGCAAGCCGAAACTCTCGAACCTCCGCGCAGAGTTCCGGGATCGGCGCTGGACCCCCTCTCTGGCGCGCGGAGCGCGCCGAGGGCGGCGCCAGAGGCGCCGGCAGGGTGGCCCGCCGGCGTCGCCCCAGGAGGCCAGGCGCGCCACCAGGGGGCGCCGCCAGGGGGGCCAGCCGCCGATCGAAGAAGTCCTCGCGGAGCTCTGAAAGCTCATGCCTGTGCTGTGTTTTGCCCCCCGAGATGCGCCCTGGATGCAGACGAGGCCCAGCGCCGCGACGAAGACTCCGCCCACGGGATCGTCGACGGTGGTGGTCACCCTCAGGAGCACCAGGCCCAGCAGGCTGACGCACGTGAGCACGCAGCCCGCGGCGTACGACGCGCCGAGGGGCACTCGGTCCCTCGCCGCCTTGGTAGACAGGCCCCCCTGCACCACGTTGACCAGCACCGAGTTGCAGATGTCGGCTGAGGTCAACCCTTTCTCGCAAGGACGCACGAGAAGGAAGCACGGGCCGCGGAGGGCCACTTCGAGGCTCTTGGAGCGGAGCGCGGCCAGCGCAAGCGGCCAAGGACTGGCCGAAGGGGCAACGATGCGAGGGTGGCCCTCGGAAGGTTGCCCATCCTAAAACTATACATGGTTTCCGCTTGCGCTGGCCGACGCCGCGCGCCGTCGGCCGTCCCTGCCATCGCTGCCGTCGCCAGGCTGCCGCCACCGTCGCCGCGGTCGTGGCCGCCGCGGCCGCCGCCGCCGCTGTCGCCGCGGACGTGGTGCTCCGCGTCGTCGTCGTCGGCGTCGTCGCTGTGGTGTCGGCAAGGGTGCGAGGGCATCCTTGGGAAACTTGCCCATCCTTGCCATGCGGGCTGACCGTACACGCATGAGCTGACCCCGGGCAGGGGTGGCTGTTGGTGCGCGGCTTTGGGGGGCAGGGGTTGGGGGAAGCCAAGACCAGGCGCGGAGGCCAGTGCTGGGGGGACTCTGCCCCCCCCCCTTCCCTTGGCGGCGCGCACTAAAGGCGGCCCTGGGGGCGGGGGCGGCCTTGTAAGAAGGCGGGAGGAGCCAGAAGTCAGTGGCCTTCCAAGCTTGGAAACATCATGGGTCCTGCTTGGACATGGGCCCTCCTGAGGGGGCATTTGTTTTTGAGATGCCCCCGCCTTCTTAGAAGGCCACCCTCCTCCCCTGAGGGCCCGCACCACATCTCACTTCTGCGAAGGGTCACTCTAACGCGCAGCCGAAACTGGAACACCAGAAGGCCCAGCCGGGGTTCCATGCCTGGAAGTCGGGCGTGAAGGCGAGGATAATCAGATGCTCGTTCTGGGGACCTTGCTAGAGCCCCTCGCTCCGCTCATGCGTCGATGCTGCGTCGAAGCTCCGTCGACTCGAGTCGAGCTTGAGTCGAATTAAAGTCGAGCTGGAGTCGAGCTCGTGGAGCAGGTCTGCTTGCCCTGACATCCGCCGATACAGGTTTGTTTTTCAATGCGCGAGATCCTGGACCTTTTTTCCCAGCGACAGTGTTTCGGCCAGGATCAATGTGTTTTTATCGTCCTTCTGGGACGGGCGCTGGGGTTGCAAAGGGGATACGGTGTTGTGGATACCAAGCTGTGTGTATATCTGGGCTGACCTAGCTTGGGAGTGAATTACAAGTGCTCGAACTCGCCTAAAGGGAGCTAACTAACTCCACACAAAAAAAGTGCGGAGCAGGCTTAGCCCGGCGTGTGAGTTTGAGAAGTCTAAGCTGAAGCTCTGCTTCAGCATGAGCTTTAGCTCTGCTTGAGAGGGGGGGAAAGGGGGGACCTCATTAACTAATGAATTCAGTGCTCGGCACCTCCCCCCCCCCCTGCCAGCCCCCAGGAGAGAGGGTGTGGGGGAGACATGAGAGAAGGGGGGGGGGGGGAGAGAGGGGGAGGGGGGGGCAGGGGGGGGTTGGGGGCAGGAGAGAGGAGGAGGGGGGGGGACAGGAAAGAGAGGGGAGGGGGGGGGGACAGCAGAGAGAGGGGGGGGGCGGGACAGGAGAGGGGGGGGGGGACGACAAGAGAGAGGGGGGAGAGGGGGGAGGGCAGAGGGGGTGGACAGGAGAGAGGAGGGGGGGGAACAGAGAGAGGGAGGGGCGGGAGTGGGGGGAGAGGGGGGGGGGGAACAGGAGAGAGGGGGGGGGACAGGAGAGGGGGGGGGGGAAGGAGAGAGGGGGGGGGGATAGGAGAGAGGGGGGGGGGGGACAGGAGAGAGGGGGGTGGGGGACAGGAGAGGGGGGGGGGACAGAGGGGGGGGGAGACAGGAGAAGGGGGGGACAGGAGAGAAGGGATGTGAAAGGAGAAAGGGGGGCAGGATAGAGGGGGGGGCAGGAGAGAGGGGGTTTGGGGGCCGGGATCATCCCACCACAATCACCATCACCATCGTCACATGACCATCATCACCATCATCATCGTCATCATCATCATCACCATCATCACCATCACCATCACCATCACCATCACCATCACATCACCACCATCATCATCATCATCATCATCATCGTCATCGTCATCGCATCGTCATCGTCATCGTCATCGTCATCGTCATCATCATCATCATCATCATCATCATCATCATCATCATCCTCATCCTCATCCTCATCCTCATCCTCATCCTCATCCTCATCATCATCATCATCATCATCATCATCATCATCATCATCATCATCATCATCATCATCATCATCATCATCATCATCATCATCATCATCATCCGGAGCGCCCCGGGTCGGCGGCACTGGCTGGAGGCCACTACAATAACTCCACGAAATGTGAGGAGCATACTTAGCCCGGAAAGTGTGCGGAGCACACTTAGCCTGGATTGCTACCCCCCCTGAACCACTTGAGGCATTTGTAACCCCCTTCTATGCTAGGTCAGGCCAGGCACATCACACCTTGGCATCCGCTGCCAACCCCATGCCAGTGGGGCCAGATAATGGGCTATGGAGGCCCAAACAAGAGAAAGCGTGGCATATTGAAAAACAAATTTTACAACAACAGTGCCCCCTAAAACGAGCATCTGCGGATGACGTTCCAGCCCAGCAGCGTGAGCGCGCCCAGGCAGCAGAAGCCGATCCGCGGCAGCGGGGCCGACACCTCGTCGGAGGCGCACTGCAGCACCACGTCCCGCGCGCTCCTCGAGTAGGGGGTCGACTGCAGAAGTGGTCTACCCCAACAAGTGATTTCCCCGCCGAATCTACCAAGTATACGTAGCATGCTCCGTAGACCTACATACAATTCCACGCACTGTTCGCACCTGGAGCGTATGAAACGATTCTGGGGGTCAAATCAACGCTGCAGTCGATCTCCTGCTCGAGCTCCCGGGGCGGCTCTGCACCGAGGCCGCCCTCGTTCTGGGGACCTCGCCGCCGCCGAGCGCCGCGCCGCCATCGGGGGGACGTAAAGGTGGGGCAGGGGCAGGGGCAGGGTTGGGAAGGAAACTGCTCGAAACGGCCGACCAGATTTTCGAGGCGAATCCAGCGGTGGCGACGAGGGCCTCCAAGGAGGCCCAAAAAGGGGAAAACGAGGGAAGGGCAGCGGTATGGGTACCTGTTCCTCCTCTGCTTTACCCCCCCCCCTTGGGATCACCCTCCCTCTACGAACCCCCGACGCCAGGCACGCTGGCCGAGACCCGGCGCAGCTCGAGCAGCTGCTGCATGGCGGCGGGGCCGGCCAGGGCCCCAGGAGAAGAGAAACTGCACAAACATACACTTTTGGAGCTCCGCGCGGAGTTCTTGGATCCGCCGCGCTGGACCCCCCCTTTCCTGGCGCGCGGAGCGCGCCAGAGGCGGCGCCCGAAGCGACGCCAGGAAGGCGCAGCGCAGATCCGAGACCTCTGCACGGAGCTCCGACAGTTTCTGTTTACAGCGGAGGCCAGTCCACAAGAAACCTACCACAAGAAACATAACCCTGAGACCCCAGGGCGTTCACTGATTTCTGGGGTGGGAACGTCAACTTTCCCATAGCAACACCATTGAAACCCAAGAAACCCAAGACACCCTGGAGGACACCCCGGTTCGGACGCCCGAAATGGGCAAGAAAAGAATGGGCACAATGCCCAACAACAAATGTTGTCCCAAACCAACAGCGGCCACTGTTGGACAGGCGGCCCTCTGTCTCAAATGGGCACAGGCCGCGGCGGCGCGGACAGCGAGTCCTCTTCAGAATGAACAGGAACTGCTGTTGGGCATTGTGCCCATTCCTTCCGGAACCAGTTCGCTCGTGCCGACCTGGGAGACCCCCCCTCCCTTGAAGTCGGGCCGGTCCCCCTACAGGAGGATTTTCGACGAAGAATGAAAAACATACCCCCAAACTAATCAACACATAGTTTTGAAAATGGTCTGGGAACTATTTTTCTAATATTTGTTTGGCCGTTTTGGGGTATCTTCGGGGTATGTTTCATTCTTCGTCGAAAATCCCCCTGCAGGGGGACAGGCCCGACATGACCCTCCCTGGCGCGCGGAGCCTTCCCACCTTCCTCGCATGCCTTGTGTGCTGGTCTTGCTCCTGCTCCTCGAGACCCCAGGGCGTCCACTGATTTCTGGTGTGGGAACGTCAACTTTCCCATAGCAACACCATCGAAACCCAAGAGACCCAGGACACCCTGGAGGACACCCTGGGAGACCCCCCCTCCCTGGCGCGCGGAGCCTTCCAACCTTCCTCGCATGCCTTGTGTTATGTCGAACGTGTCACCCTACAGGGGGATTTCCGTCGAAAAATAAAAATAACCCAGAAGATACCCCCAAAAAGGTCCAAAAGTACTAGAAACAATAGTCCCCAGACTATGTTTAGAGTATTTTTGACTATTTTGGGGGTACTTGTTATTCTTCGTCGAAAATCCCCCTGTAGGGGGACACGCCCGACTTACGCCTTGTGTGCCTACCCCCCCACGATGTCTGGGGGGGGAAGGTGGGGCTCACTTCGTCCGGAAGCTCCCGAGCGAAGTGAACCCCGCCCTCCCCCTCAGAAATCGTGGGGGGCAGGGGTAGGGTTCGCCTGCGGCCCCCTGTGGAGGACACCCTGGGGAGACTTAGATGCTCATTCTGGGGACCTTCCTGCAGCCACTCGCTCCACTCGTGCGTCGAAGCTGCGTCGAACCTGAGTCGAACCTGAGTCGAACCTGATTCGAACATGAGTCGAACATGAGTCGAACCTGCGTCGAACCTGAGTCGAACCTGAGTCGAACCTGAGTCGAACCTGAGTCGAACAGATCCATTAGGTGGCCCCCAGGAAGGTCCCCAAAACGAGCATCGAAGGAGACCCCCCCTCCCTGGCGCGCGGAGCCTCGCTCCTGCTCCTCGAGGCCCCCTCCCTGGCGGGCCGCGGCCGCAGGCCAGCCGCGGCCTCGGGCCGCGGCGCGGGGCCCGCCGGGCCGCGCCCGTGGCCCGCTTGCGCCTGGCTCGGCGCGGCCCGCGGGCGCCCTGCCGCGCGCGGGGGCCCTGCCGGAGCCGAGGCGGCCCAGACCGGCGGCGAGCGAGGGGGGGGGACTTCGAGGAATAAAAAATGCCTTCAAAATACCCGAAAATGACCAAACAAATGTTCAAAACATGGTCCCCAGACCATTTTTGGACTATTTTTGGACTAGTGTTGGGGTATTTTTAATTCGTCGTCGAGAATCCCCCTCGAGGGGGACAGGCCCGACTTAACTCTAGGTGTTCGGGCAGCTGCGTCGTTTCTTGGCGGTGTTCCGCCCTCGGGATGCGTTCCAGCGGCTGCGCCTCGCCGAGGGCGTTCCGGGGATGCCCGGATCGTCCCGAGCGGCCGTGGAAGGCCCGAGTCAAGACCCAGAAACTGAAATCGGCGGCGACCGAGGGGGGGAAGCGAGAAGATGAAGGCCTCCTCCTCCATACACCCTGCGAAATGCTCAAGAAATTATGGGTTAAGAAATTCAGAGTCTGCGAATTTGAATAAAAACCCCGAACTTCTATCAAAATCTTGGGATTTACATTGGAAAGTTAAGAATAATCGAGACTCTGGACGAAAACTTAGGTTTTCTTAAGCATCGCCTAAGGTGTAGCCTCCTCCTCCCTATCATCCTCCTCCCTACCCTCCTCCATTCCTTCTCCTTAGAAACAGCTTCTACACGTCGCACCCCGAGGCCAGTTTTTAGGGCGGCCCGGGCGTTTCGCATGAGACTTCCTCACCACCTACGACTCTGAAGCTCAAACATTGGCAGCCGTTCAAAAATGGAGGGCGGGTCGTTTTCAAAATGTGACTCTCGCCTTAGAGCCGCGCACGTTCGCTTTAAACATTTGCAAGAGTTTCACGGATTGTAAGCGGGTCGTTTATTAAATGTGACTCTCGCCTTAGCGCCGCGCACATTCGTTTTAAACAGTTGCAAGAATTGTCACGGATTGAGGGCGAGTGGTTTTCATAATGTGGTTTTCGCCTCAGCGCCGCGTACACTCGGTTTGAACAGTTGCAAGAGCGTCACGGATTGAAGGCGGGTGGTTTTCATAATGTGGCTCTCGCATTAGCGCCGCGCACATTCGTTTGAAACATTTGCCAGAGTTGCACGGATTGAGGGCGGCTCGTTGTGAAAATGTGGCTTTCGCCAAAGCGCCCCGCACACCATTGTTACAACATTACAAAAATCCACGGGTTTCCATATTCGACGTACCAGACATGATGTGTTGGAAAGGCTTCACGATTTCAGGGCGCAACAATTACGATGAGTCGCGGAGATGAAATCCAAGGAATGGCGTCCTGGCACAATTCAAGATCGCCAAGACGCAACAGTCGGGTTAATCCGTGGCGTTGGAATAACGTTCTTCAAACGGTTGCCTCAAACGAGGCAGGCTCCTCTGTGGAAATGAACCGTTGTGGGGGCCTGTGATGAGGGAGCTTTGGGGGAGGGTTTATTCCAACATCGTGTTGTTTCACGATGTTGCCTTTGTTTCGCTTATGTCGAGGCTCAAGGGTTTGTAGATGGGTGCCCCCAGGGCCCGAATACCCGAGTGAAGGGACCGAACGGTCTTGATTCCGCGACGAAGATTATTGCTGTTGTGTTGTGGTCGTCCACCCCGTGGCCCACACGCGACCCACCCGCGACCCACGCGCGACCAATCCCGAGATCCATCCCGCGACCCATTCGTGACCCACACGCCACCCAGCCGCGACCCACCCACACTGCGTTGACCAAGCATCGGCGACTGCGGTGGGGTCGTTGTGTTGTACGTATACAATCGGCACTTGCGGCGGGCTACGATCCTCTCCCTGGCCCCTTCGCCCATGAGTATCCGCAACTGCGTGGCTTTGGTACCAATCGACGCCGCCGACAGAAGCCCCGAAGCCGGATCCCACAGGCGGCGCGTATGGATACATTCCCGCATCGGAAATGCGGCCCTGTTCAGATCGGCGCGGGGGTTGCTAAAGGAGATACAGGTTTACGAGTGGGTGCCAGGGTGTGCTGTGTCAGGCCTAGCCTAGCTCAAACAAGTTAAAAACTGAATGAAAACCGTTTGTTTTTTTGGGGGGTACGATCTGGGAAAAGTGGGTTCCGCCCACTTGGCGGCGACGCCAGGATAGGCCAGATACAACCCAATCCACATTGGCATTCACGGATAACCCCTTATCCCCACTGCACCGCCGCGCCGATCCCATTTGCCCCCCAAAGACCAGCATCTACATATACAGGTATGTAAATCTGCAGATTGGCTCGATCAGAGCGAGAGGCCCGAACGGTCATTCATTGTCCCTGGGTGCGTGGCTGACTTAGAGATCCGTGGTGGGGATTGTGTTTGTTGCGTTGTTGGTGCGTTACTGTTTGTTGTTGAATTCTCATTCCAGAAAATAAGTATGGTTCGCCCCTCCAGTGTAACTTTTATGTTTTCCATTGAAGTGCCCCTCGCGGCGCCCGCACCCTGCTTTATCAGGGAAAACCTTCGTCCTCAAACTGCGTTGTTGCCCCCCCGGGTTACAGCAACAACGGCTCCCGCCTGAGACTTCCTTACAATTTAGCCAGGACCCCCGCTCCCGCCCGAGACGTCCTTCGCTGGAGGCTTGTTTGCAACTTACTCAAGACTAGCTTCCTTGCGATGGAATTCCCCGCGATTTAGCCGGCGCCGCGATCCCGACGTTCAGGCGCCCAGGAGTCGCGCTCACGTTTCGGACTCTCTCGCAAATTACCCAGGAATCGGGATCTCGCTGCCCGTCGTGGCCCGGTTGCAACCCGTCGTGGCCCCCATCGCAGCCCTTCGTGGCCCCCGTTGCAGCCCTTCGTTGGCCCGTTCCAGCCGTTCGTGGCGCCCTCGCTGCATTTCGCGGTTTCGTTACAGCCCTTCGTGGCCCCCTCGCTGCCCTTCGTGGCCCCGTTGCAACCCCTCGTGGCCCCCTCGCTGCCCTTCGCGGCCCCGTTGCAGCCCCTCGTGGCCCCCTCGCTGCCCTCCGTGGCCCCGTTGCACCCCTTCGCGGCCCCCTCGCTGCCCTTCGCGGCCCCATTGCAAGCCTCAGTGGCCCCGTCCTTGTCCTCCGCGGCCCAATATACGCACGCCCTTCGTGGCCCCCGCTCGTTCGCGCCCGTCGTGGCCCCATCTGCGTGCCCTTCGTGGCCCCGCCGTCGCCATTCGCGGCCCCCTCGCTGCTTTTCGTGGCCCCGTTGTTGCCCTCAGTGGCCCCGTCCTTGCCCATCGCGGCCCGATATACGCATGCCCCTCGTGGCCCCCGCTCATTCGCGCACGTCGTGGCCCCGTGTCCGCTGTCGCCCTTCGTGGCCCCATCGCTGTCCTACGTGGCCCAATTGCTACCCTCAGTTGCCCCGTCGTTGCCTTCTATGCCCCCGCATTATCTGCCCTTCGTGGCCCCCGCTCGTTCGCGCTCTTCGTGGCCCCATACGCATTCCCTTCGTGTCCCCGCTGTCGCCCATCGCGGCCTACTTCGTGCTCTT